GGATTGAACGAACCAGAAGGCTTGCCAGAGAGACAGTGTATTGGCCAGGAATCGATAAAGACATCGAAAGAGCAATAAAGTTGTGCCAGCCATGTCAGGAGCACCAGCCTTCACATCACAAAGAACCATTGGAGCCACACGACATCCCAACAACTCCCTGGACCAAGCTCTCTACTGATTTGTTCTCAATTGGTAAAGATGACTACATAGTAATAACGGACTACTATTCCAAATATCCTATTGTCCATAAGTTAAACAATACTGCCGTAATTTGGAAAAAGGCATTAACTCCACTTTTTGAGATTTTTGGATTTTTGTTTCTATGGCATCCTATAAGATGTAATCTATCATGTGAATTGATCATATACCCCAAAAAATGTACAGAAATATGAAATAAATATTATATTTACGCATTAATTCCAATCCATGAATGCAGAATAATTTGGAAGAAGGCATTATCTCCACCAAACAATGAACAGATAATAATGAACCAATCACAGAAGACAATTACGCATAGTTAATTAGTCATGATAGCTTGTAAATGCTGTCTCTTATCTTTACTTCGGTTTTAAAAAAATGGCATATTAAAAAATCTTCTACCACTAATGAGCGAGAATAGAAAAGCCTTTTGGAGGAACATGCCTGTTGGCGATGTTGCTGATTTGATAGATAATTGAGTGAAAAATCACAAAAAAATTAAGAAAATAATATTTCATTATCTTCAATGCTGGTAAAATGATGTTGACAAATAAAAGAGAAAACCTAAAACTTGTCTAACTTTGATTCATTTAGATTCTATTTATCTACCACACCATTTTATAGAACCATTTACCTCACCGTATAGTGTCTTTAATTTCGATTAATAGCTTAAAAAAGTATAATTTTTGTATTTGTGCACTTTTTACATGATTCGTAAATATAATATGAAGATTCGAAATATGTAACTTCGCATTTGTAAAATAGAAGTCTGTAAATTTAGTATACGTAAGTTAGAGGTTCTACTAAGTATATTAATACTATTCTTCATAATATAACCATCATATATCAATATCATTGTATTCTGATTGAATATAAAAATGATAGCAGCTTAATTTGTACAATAATAATAATTTTATCTATTTTTATACGTGTACAATACAATGACGACTCCTAAATTGATTATAAATTTATACTATAATATTAATTTTAACTTACATGGACTAAATTTTGTGAAATATATAATTGACACTGGCATACATTATTTGTTTGTCAGAAATACTGTAATTTGGCTACGTAAGATACACATTTCACTGGAAAAACTGGAGTTAATGCCTTACTTCAGATTTTTCACCCACCATTGACTCCTGTTAAAATTTGGAATAGTGCATTATCTCCATTTAAATAGGGTTAAAGAACAAAAATCACCATGAAAATTATTTAATATGTTTTTTAATTATATGTTTAGTATATTTGCCAAAAAAAATTACTAGAATTCATTTCCAGTACAAAAGGCTAACGACAAACGCGTTTTGCTCAATAACTCAAAACTAGGATTTTGGAGTTAATACCTTTTTCCAAATCACGGCAGAATACATCAAGCACCACTATTGCACGTATTGTGAGCGGAACAATGAGCCTTTTTGGAGCACCGGCAGAAATCGTTTCGGACAACGGTCCGCAGTACAGCAGCCAACCCTTCAAAGAAATGTGCAGAAACTGGGGAGTGAAACACACTACCTCTTCTCCAAGATATCCCCGCTCAAATGGACTGGCAGAGCGCACAGTTAGAACATTGAAATCTTTGATCAAGAAATGCACGCAGACTAGGCAAAGCATACAAGTTGCCTTATTACATCTCCGGGCAACCCCGATAGGACCCGACCTACCATCACCTGCAGAAATGATGTTTGGTCGACTGGTGAGAACAACGCTTCCAAGTCATCACTTCGCAAGAATCCACCAAAGGACAGAAGTGCATGATAAGCTTATATCAAGACAGCAGGAAATGAAACAATACCATGACAAGCATGCTGGAGCTGAACTAAAACCACTTCACACAGGACAAAAGGTGCGAGTCAGATGCCCTGATGACAACATGTGGGTCCCTGCAGAAATAACAAACGTTTGCAAAGAACCAAGGTCATACGTGGTTACTACACACAATGGATCATCGTGGAGGAGGAACAGATCCGAAATCAGAGACGTACCCGAATCTGATATCACAACCAACACCAGGAATACACCACCAGTAACCGACAACCTAACTGACACAAGAGACATACCACCAGAACCAAACAATACAACATCACAATATGAAGACGATGATACGACACCAGTACGCCGACACGTACACTTTGCTGAAAATCCAACACAGCTACAACCACCCAAACCAAAAAATAATAACCAAAACAACCCAGCCTATCCCAACACGAGAAGCACAAGATCGACGTATAACACAATTACCAGATCCGGTCGAATAAGCCGCCGACCAACACGCTTCGGAGACAAATAACAAATCAATGAACACAATAATCACAACAGAGAACAGTCAATACAACGACAGGCAATTCATATAACCATTTAAAATAATATACTGTAACTTGTCATTATATGTTCAATGAAAATAGATACAAAACAATATACACATTGTCATTAAGTAGTAATTCAATATCCGGAATGTGCAACAATCGCATTCAAGTTTTATGATGTTTAACAACGTTTTTTTTTTTTAATGAATTATATTAATGTTTATGAAGTTAACGTTTATGAAGTGAAAAATAGTTCATTACTTTAACAATCACAATATGATACAATGTTTTTAAGAATGATAGTAATGTTAATAACATTAGTGATTATGAAATTAAAAAGTGTTTCATTATCTTAGTATCACAATATGGACTAAGAAAAGGCATCAGTTAAACAACGTTTAAAGCATTAATTAACACACCCTGTTTAAAGTTTAAAGCTCGTTGTATTGCTATAAAGCGATAACAAATTAACTGTAAAGCTTTTTGAAAGGAGGGGGATGTTGTGATACGTCATGTTATTGACGTGAATCAGCCGTGTATATAGACGCACGCACTCGCATGGAACCGATCCACAGTACCTACTGGCATATCTGAATAAACTACATGTTTTGTTACAATAGTTGATAGTCTGTGTGTCTGCCTGTTATTGTCACAATGACCACCCAGGAACACAACAAAACCTACCTCTTTTGTGCTTATTTTACCCACATATATGTAGTTTATTGGATTTTGGCGGCCATTTTTTAAAAAGCGCCCTCACGCGAAAGTTCTCAGGTTACACCCCTTTTACCTCACATATTCTGATTCCCCATAAAAAACTGGTCTAGAAAAACCATATGAGAATTTCTACCTCTCTAAGTGGCACCTATCTCAATTATAGCCTGGTCTATACCCATCCCTTGAGCCACAAGTCTTTGCGGTATCAGTTTCAAATTGCTTAATTTAAAATTACTGGATGCAGCTCTGTATAAATTGCTCATTCCAGTAGCATCACCCTCCACAGTGAATGTGTATATTATTTTAATCTACTATTAACAATTTTGCAAATTAATCAACAAAACACATGGAATCAATAAAACATGTGGTACCAACAATACTGTAAATACATAAACTTTTCTTTCAATGGATACTTCAGCTGTAATGCTTTTATTTGCATTAGGTATTATAATGAACTTTAGCTCACCATCATTACATGGTTTGCAACTTACAAATGATAACCAATGAACAGTAGTCACAGATCCAGGAACAATAATAATAATAACTAGATTTGAACTCGTCACTGAGGACGAGTTAGGTGATCCGCCGTACTTCGACCCTCACGAAGCACGCACGGTTCTGATTGAAAAGTATTATAAAGAGTAATTTTTAGCATTTTAAAAGAAATTTTAAAGGAAAAGAGTAATTTTGAGCATTTTAAGGACTTACGAATGTGTACACATACGTCTTAACGTCCGTGCGCACGGTAGTATTAATACAGTGTCAGAAACCCAACACATGTTACCGAAACGTAATTTCCAGTACGTGCTGTGGGCGTGGAAATGAACGTACGGCGCGTAAATTTTGGAAAGTTTTGGAATATTCAAAATGACCTGAAACGTGCTTTAAATTATCTGAAAAGTGATATTAACAACTTTTAAATTTTAACGCACAAATACGAATACCTTATACGACGTGCTTTACGACGGTAATGGTACATGAATTTAAACCTTGTCAAGTTTATGCCACATGAATTTTGCCTTTACAGTAATACGAACTATCGGTCTGATAGTGTCGAAATACAGTCTACCGCCCTCCATTTTCAATGTGTTTACATCTTTTAAGAAAGAAAGATGAGAAGGCTCCAAAAAAGCATTCTTTTTGACCATGATGGCGACATCAAAATACAAAATAAAGGGATACGTCCGAAAGAGAATTAATTTAGCTATAACATACTCACAGGTGGGAGACAATCAATCAAGATAAGCGAGTACGTTCAAACGAGTATAAAAAGTAATAACGTCATAAATAAAATTCAATTTTTCCTAAATTCAAATGGCAATATGATGACGTCAAAATATCCGGTCAGCCATTATGATCTATAAAATCGTATCTACAACTCATGTGCTTTCAGAATATGTAATAAAAATTGGGGGTCACCTTTCATCCTATGGAGCTATAACTGATTAAAAACATGCATGGTTTTATGCATATATAAATGTTGACGCACGCGTACGCGCACGTAAGGTCGCGCGAACTAAAAATTAAGGTACCTGACATTCAACCTTGACCTGAAGATTATGCTCACTTAATATGATTCAGAAATGACGAATGGTTAAGATGATATGGGCTCATCAACGTTTTGAGGAAAGAAAGATGTGGGGGTCAGAAAAAACAATTTTTTTGACCATGATGACGTCATCAAAATGTAAGAAGTCGTATATATGAAAGAGAATTGTCTCAGCTATAACATACTGAAAGGTGGAAGACGATCGATCAAGGATAAGCGAGATACGCTCAAATGCGTATTTTCAAAAATGACGTCATAGCTATAAATCACTTTCTTTTAATTCAGATGCCAATATGATGACGTCACAATGTCCGATCTGCCATTATGATCTATAAAATCATATTTACAACTCATGTGCTTTCAGAATATGTAATAAAAAATGGGGGTCACCTTTCAACCTAAGGAGCTATAACTGATTAAAAATAGGTTTGATTTTAGCATAATTTCACTGTATAGCGGCACAAAGATACCTATGTTTGATGCGCACGTACGGTATTGCTATTGGCCAAAAGATGACCGAAAAGAATGGAAATTTGTAAAAACAATGTCGGGAACCCAAAATATGTAAAATAACGTGATTTCTAGCTTCTGTACGTGCTGCGCAAGTACAAATGCGCGCGCGTAGTGGAAAATTTCAAAAAAATTTGAAATGCTCAAAATGGCCTAAAACGTGCTCTAATTTAGTCAAAAAGTGATTTTGAGCATTTTAAAAATTTGACGCAAGCGTACGCGCGCGTAGGGAAGTGCACGCGTCAAATTAGGGTACAGTACATTCAAAATTAACCCGAAGTTAATGCTCATTTAATACGATTTCGAAATGGTAATTGGTTAGGCTGATATTATCAATAATGTAGAAACGCAAAATTGCGCGTAGATGACATCATGCATGACTGAGCGCGTTGAAAAGCTTACCATGACTATTCCAGACCAAGCCAAATGTTCGTTGACAGCGATTGTTCGTAACTCGTGGCAATTTTTTGAGATATCGTGCGAACAGAAAAGGGGAGAAAGAAAGAAGAATAAACTAGATTTGAACTCGTCACTGAGGACGAGTTAGGTGATCCGCCGTACTTTGACCCTCACGAAGCACGTGCGGTTCTGATTGAAAAGTATAATATTCTAAAACATGCTCTATTTAAAGAGTAATTTTGAGCATTTTAAAAGCAATTTTAAAGAAAAAGAGTAATTTTGAGCATTTTAAGGACTTACGAATGTGTACACATACGTCTTAACGTCCGTGCGCACGGTAATGATACTAATACAGTGTCAAAAACCCAACACATGTAACCGAAACGTAATTTCCAGCTTCAGTACGTGCTGTGGGCGTGGAAATGAGCGTACGGCTCGTAAA